AGCAGGTTATCTTCAGAGAGTAAGCTGCTATGGTTACGTACATACCCAGAAAGTTAACCTCCGTTTTTGGAACCGAAAGTTGAGGTTATCCACTAACTTACCCTTAAACTTACCCGGGTATGTCACATAACCTGCTTTCTGGAATACCCCCCTGGACTTCTGTAACTGAGTAGCCATAAACTGAAATGTTTACTTTTCCACTGTTTTGTTTTATTTGTTTACATATGATAACTGTCAACATTTTGTAGTCTTTCTTTTGTGTTCACAGTTCAATATATGTATCATTGATTTGTTTCAAACTGAAGTGTTTTTTTACTGCATATATAATGCTGTTTATTGTTTGTAAATGAGATGCTTTATAGTGTTTACGTGCTTGTGTTTGTATTTGACAGCTTATAAAACTATTTATTCTATATTTTGTTTTTTAATAAATGAAGTGATATTTTGCATCTGTTTTGTGTTGCATATTGGTGTAGGCTTTGCTAGACTACTTTAATTATAGTAGTGTAAGTGTCTATTGTTGGTACATGTTCAAAACAAGTTCTAAGACACTTTATTCGTCTCATACATGGTTATAGAAGTACAACATGTAGTGAAATGTACTCTGAACAACTCTTACTATGCACAAATCAAAATAGTATTAAAAATGTCAACAGTTAAATGTGTTACAATGAACTGGAAAGTCACAATAACTAAAAATGTATAGCCTACATAAGAGAAATACGGCAGTAATAATACAGGAAATAAAGTGAAGGTTAACTCTACATGTGCATATTATTACAGAGCTTTGTATTGAAAATGCAGGTGACATATACAGTATATATCAATGTTATTTTCACAAAATGAACAGTTGTTATCCTCAATGTTAAAGCGTAGTCTAAGTAACTTTTGAGGGATAGATATTGTTCATAATTTTGAAGTGTGTTTCGGGATGGGGAATTTTATATACATCTTAATTTAGTAACTGTGTTTTTGTCAAATTTATGTAATATATTATTTTAATTTTGTCGTCCAGGAAATATCCTTTCGGTTAATTTATTACATTTTATGTCCAGGAGAGAGATATCTTGAATTGATAACGGGGCCAATTGTGGTTGTATAATTTGGTGTATCATTATGTTTTTAGTTAGAAACACAAATTCTTGGGGAAGTACATTACGTATTTTTAAGAATTCTGAGATGGGGGGATTAAAACTGTGTCTCGTACAAAAAAGTTCATAATCTAACAATTCTCCATTAAAATCCATCAGATCACTCACCGACCATATATTTCTCTCAAACCATTCTCTATAAAATAAGGATTTGTTGCGATGCAGTATATATCTGTTGTTCCAAATTATAATAGAGTGCGGTGAGAAATTATGTACATACAACATTTTTCAATATAACAAAATTTGTTTATGGAACTCTGTTAATGCTATAGGAAGCTTGTTAACATCAAAATCAGTAATAAGCAGAAACCTTAGGCCACCAATTTTGTTAAATAAGTGATTTGGAATACAATACCAGAAGGAGTTGCTGTGTTTGATCCAAGAATTTAGCCAGTTTGTCTTCAAGGTTCCATTAAGGCAGTCGAAGTCAATAATCTTCAAACCACCATCCTTTATTTCTTTAACCATATCACTTTTTCTCATATAGTGAGGCTTGTTCCTCCAAATAAAATTCAGATTAATTTGGTTGATGGATTTTATTATTTTATTCGGGATAGCATTAGAATAAGTTGGGTAAGTGCATCTCGACAAACTTTCCATTTTTGTCAGATAAATCCGACCTAGAATTGAAAGATCTCTTGATACACATGGTTTCCGACAGGGAGACGAGGTAGGCACGATGGGTGAGACGAGCAGGGAAGGCAGACACGCGATCAGGCAGGACACAGCA